CCCCCCCCCCCGGATCTTGATTGATCCGGGTTTGGATCTTGATTGATCCGGTTATCGTATTCCAAACCGAATCGACATCCGAACGGTTGAATAAGTATCACCAAACCGAATCAAGATCTCGTATCTTGACGATAACCGGGATTTGATCTTGATCGACCCCGGTTACGATATACCAAACCGAATAGAAGTCCAATTTTTTGTTTTTTTTTAATGAAAAGGGAAAACATTTGAGACGATAGATCCGAGGAATGGGGAAGTGATAGGGAGAATCGCGGAAGGAGATAAGGAAGACGTTGACTTGGCCGTGAAGGCAGCTCGTCAAGCCTTTGACCATGGACCCTGGCCTCGCTTCTCCGGTGCCGTACGTTCTTCCTTTTTTATAATTATTGATTATATATATATATTTCATTTTCTATTTTACGTACCTAACTCTCACGTTTTCTATGCCAATTCACACGAATTAACGATCACATTCTTTTGTCGTTAGCCTTTTCTCATGGGTTTCATTACAATTAGATTCTTAGCTTTTGCCAGATGAAAAAATAACGAGCTTTTTTGGGGGGGAAGTCAAGTCTACATGGAGTTTATTAATTAAGTTAAACACTAATTTATTAATTTAATTAAATATACTAAATTATTAAACTTTCGAGAGAGAGAAAGGAAAACGAGGGCAACTTGGCGAAACAAACAAACTTCCTCGAGTTTGACTTATTTTGTGTGTAGCACCATCTTCATGAAATAAACAAAATATCTCAGCTTCCACCTACTCGTATACCATATTATTGTTACACAATATTTCATTTTTAATAAAATCTGGAATATTAAATTAATGAAATCTTGTTATGAATTCAGGTAAAGATACACGTTGAATCATGGACTGATATATATATATATACACACACACGTTTGTTTGAAGAAACATGAGAAAAGTTTGTCAACCAGCATTGTTCAACGGTCTAGTTGTTAATGAACATATTTCATCAGGAAAGGGCGAGGCTGATACACAAATTCGCGGATCTGATCGAAGAGCACGTCGAAGAATTGGCGGCGTTGGATGCGATGGACGGAGGAAAGCTGTTCTTGTGGGGAAAACTGACGGATATTCCGGTGACCGCAGGCCATTTCAGGTACTACGCGGGTGCGGCTGATAAGATTCACGGCGAGGTTTTGAAGATGACTCGTCCTTCGATGTTTGGTTACACGCTCAAAGAGCCTATTGGAGTGGTCGGACACATCATCCCGTGGAATTTCCCGAGCATAATGTTTGCTATGAAGGTGGCTCCCGCCTTGGCCGCAGGCTGCACCATGGTGGTCAAGCCTGCCGAGCAAACTCCTCTCTCGGCTCTATTTTACGCCCATCTCGCTAAGCAAGTAAGTGCCTCTCATCCCTTGTACCGACGCTTATGATCATTCAACGGTAATATAATGACAATATCGTAATAGTAATTATGGTTTAACTTAGGGTTTTACTAAGATATTATCTTTTAGGTAATTCGAGTTTTTCGTTTTGTTCGATCCTTTTGCGAAATAGGCCGGAATCCCTGACGGTGTGATCAATGTCGTGACGGGGTTTGGACCGACCGCCGGAGCTGCCATTACATCCCATATGGACATAGAAAAGGTCATATATTGAAATCAAAACTTTTATTACTCATTACTCTCATCGATATATATGGGTTTTGATCGAGATATTTGTGTTTTTTTCATCAGGTTAGTTTCACAGGATCGACGGAAGTCGGGAGGAAGGTAATGCAGGCTGCGGCAACTAGTAATCTGAAAGCCGTCTCGCTCGAATTGGGTGGAAAATCGCCTCTTCTGATATTCGACGATGCGGATGTCGACAAAGCCGCAGATCTCGCCCTTCTCGGTAACTTCTACAACAAGGTAGGCATTGTTCTTTAAGGTCGTGACATGTGAAATCATGTATATGTTTTACAAGCGATCACACATATTCCGAATTGTAAATTTCGGTTGGCTCCAGGGAGAAATCTGCGTCGCAAGCTCTCGTGTCTTCGTCCAAGAAGGTATATACGATGCACTCGCGAAGAAGTTAGTCGAGAAGGTGAAAGGTTGGACCGTGGGCGATCCATTCGACCCTACTGCTCGTCAAGGACCTCAAGTACGACCTACTCCGTTTTCTAAAAAAACTTACCTTTATGGTTTGGTTTTTATATTAAGATGATTCGTATTAGTATCTAAGCTTTAGAATTACGTGAACTCTCTGTAGTTTTCGATTTAAACCCGAGGCTTTGGTGTTTTTACATAGGTGGATAAGAGACAGTTCGAGAAGGTCCTCTCTTACATTGACGACGGTAAGCAAGAAGGTGCGACGTTGCTAACCGGTGGCAATGCCATTGGGAACAAAGGATACTTCATCGAGCCGACTATCTTCGCGGATGTCACGGTATATCCTCACTTCCCCGCCCCCGAAACCATGCTTCATTTTTTCTTGTACAATGAGTTTGGAACCGATTTCGATCGCAGGATGGCATGAAGATATACCAAGACGAAATCTTTGGACCCGTCATGTCTTTGATGAAGTTCAAGTAAGCGAAATCTCACTCGTCTATCCCAAAGATGCGATGTGCCTTTCTCTCACAACTTCTGATATGTATATAAGATCGGAATCCCATTTCATTTACGTGATCGTTTGGACAGGACGGTGGAAGAAGCGATCGAACTGGCGAACAACACGAGGTACGGACTGGCAGCGGGGGTCGTGAGCCGGGACATTGACTTGGTGAACACGGTTTCGAGGTCGATAAAAGCGGGTGCGATATGGGTGAATTGCTACATCGCGTTCGACGTGGACTGCCCGTACGGCGGCTACAAGATGAGCGGTATCGGCCGGGACAGCGGCCTGGACGCTCTCTACAGCTATCTTCACGTCAAGTCCGTCGTCACCCCTCTTCACAATTCCCCTTGGCTTTGAACTCTCGCACCGTTTAGGGTTTCGTTTACGGTCACTCTTTTTTCGGTTTTATGATTACATCCAACGTTACCACGAAACGCAATAAAACGCTCGTCTTCGACGTTATCTGCTTTTACCAATACGTTTCTTTCTTTTCTTTTTTAAAATTTTTTCCCATATCATCGGCGTTACCAGTGTTAGTAGCTGTAGCAGCAAGAAATAGAATTCTTGGACATGACTAGCAAGGGATTCAGTGGATTCAGATTTTTTTTATTTATTAATATTTAACTTAAATTGATTCTAAACAGATAATATCTAAATAGTTTTTAAAGTTTAATTTAGATGTTAAATTCGATTCAGACCCCATTAGAACTTATTTCATTTCAACTTCTATATCGGATATTATTAAAAAAGTATTTTTTTTTATTTTAATATAAATTTAATCGAATCGATTCCGGAAAAATAATATCTAATTAGATCTCAAATTAGATACGGTGCGCTAGAACTCGATATCGTTTTAGTTTGTATGCAAATTTAAATGCAACGATTTATCATTAAAAAATTGAAGATTTTGAATTCGAATACAAATAAAGAACATCCACAATTCAAAGAATTTTAGTTGATTGAAATTCATGTCGTATATATTGAATCTAATTAACAATTGACTTTCTAACAAACAAAGTTCAACACATTAGGCCCAAACGAAAAAATATATATAAAAAACAAACTGCAGTGTATGTAGCATTTGTGCAAGTGAACCGAAACCCTAACCAAACTAAGCCGAAATTTTGGTTTGGGTTTGATTTCTATTTGAAAAATCAGATTAAACCCAACCGAACCGTAAAACCGGAGAAAACCGAACTATGAACCGAATGCTTATTGGGCTTGGGCTTTTATTAACTTAACCAATATGATGCCACGTAGGCTTCGATTAGCTTGACGCGCCGCGTTGATTGATCTGACGGTTCACAGTGAGTTAATATAATCCGACGGTCAAAAGGCCTCGAGAGTGACAAAAAAAAAATAATGAGCCCTAAGTCCTAACTAAGGAGGATTCATCTGCCATTTCCATCGACGAATTTTTGGCGCCAATATTTTCCCCCCTCTCTCTCTCTCTCTCTCTCTCTCTCTCTCTCTCTCTGTTTTCTTATATCAGAATTCGAAAACACATCTGTCTCACTCTATCTGCTCGAAAAATGCAGCGTCAGAGATCGATTTTATCTTTCTTCCAGAAGCCCTCGCCTACGCCGGCGTGTCAGGGCTCAGGTTCCGGCGAGGCTGCCGAAGGTGGAGGGTCTCAGCGGTTTCCGATGAAGAAAATGGAATGCGAGGGCGACGTTTCGATGCTTTCTGCTGATCGAGCTGTGACGATTTCTCCAGATGAGGTCAGAGGAACGGATACTCCGCCGGAGAAGGTGCCGCGTCGGGTCCTGTCGTCCGGAGTTACTGCGGGTGAAGCCGCCGGAGGTGCATCGTCTCTGTTCTCAAGCATCATGCATAAGTTTGTAAAGGTTGATGATCGAGAATCTGCCGGAGACAGGTAGATTTTTCCCTTATTTTGAAAATTTTAGGTGATTTTGAATATTCTAGATTTATGCTTCACGGATGGTTAGGTTATGTTCAAATTCCTTGTCACCTTCATATTTCGTCCCTGAAAAAGGAAAATCAATGACAAACCAGTACGTCGCTGATACCACTGGATTATGTTGTTTCAATGGAAACAATGATAAATGGAAAATTCTAGGGAATCTGATTGCTACATTGTACCAATGTCAAAATTTTGTCAGGTGTCGAGCAGCTGATGTTTCTTCTGATGTTTCATCTGTATCCCTTAAGGCTAATGGGCTCCAAGAATGTCGACCCAATAATGGTCAACCTCTTGAACGGGACCCTGTTTTTAGCTTCAGCGAAACGGCAGATGGAAGATCAGTTGGAGATACGAGTGTAGATGATGATGTTCTTGGCCCAGAAACACCAGGGATGCGTCCAATCCTGCCACGTCTGAAGCGGGTTCAAGAGGATAGATTGATGTTTGGAGATAATGAGCGTTCTCTAGTTGCTTCTAACAAAAGGCTGAAACTGCTTCAAGATCCGATTTGTGAGGAGAAGGGAAAAGGAAATGATGTAGATGGAGGAAGCAAGTTTGAATGGCTTGACTCTTCTCGAATCAAGGATGCCAACGGAAGACGACCTAATGATCCCCTTTATGACAAAAAGACTCTATACATACCACCTGATACTCTTCAAAAAATGTCTGCCTCACAGAAGCAATATTGGAGCGTCAAGAGTCAGTATATGGATGTTGTGCTTTTCTTTAAAGTGGTTAGTGAATATCACATTACTTCTTGGTTAATTTTTCTAGGTGCCATTGGTTTGCTTTATAATTTATACGCTGTTCATCCTCAGGGGAAGTTCTATGAGCTGTATGAGCTCGATGCGGAAATTGGTCACAATGAGCTTGACTGGAAGATGACTGTGAGTGGAGTGGGCAAATGCCGACAGGTAAGTTGAACCTATAGTTTGGAGACTGATCTGTTCATTTCACTGCTTTTGCAAAGCCTGTGAGATTTATCAACACCCCCATTTTGGTCAGGTCGGTATTTCTGAAAGCGGGATCGATGATGCGATTCAAAAGCTAGTAGCTCGCGGGTAAAGGAACTTTTAAGCCGCTCTATGTCAGTTTCCATTCGCTATGTCTCCCACTGTGAATTGGACAAGGATAAAGTCGCTTCTGCCCCTTTTTTTTTATGTGCATCTTTGGTTGTTTGAACAGAATCTTAACAGAACAAGCAGTAATGATCCAAGCAGCTTGGAGATTTTTTTTTTGTTGATGAGGAAATTGGTGCTTGTTATAATGCTTGTGTGTTTTTATTTATTTATTTATTTACATTGCTCTGTAATTAAGTAAGACGGGTAAGATGCAGTTGTTAATTAAGGCTAACCTTAGTTAAGTTTTATTTGTGTTCCTGTGCTTCACATGCATTTTCCTCCCATTGATGCTGTCAAGCCTTGCATTCATAGAGTATTAGTCATATTAGTAACTTAAAAAATATATTAAGTGGGTAGATTTGTTTGCTTTCTATACCTCACTGATGTAAAAATTTGGCGCCTTGATTACTCTATTGGAAGGTACAAAGTTGGACGAATGGAGCAGCTCGAAACATCTGAGCAAGCAAAAGCCAGAGGTGCCAATAGTGTAAGCTAGACTTGAAAAATGATAGGAGCTGGTCCTGATATAATAAAAATTCTTTGGCATTATTTTGTTTGCTATATTAGACTCAGTTTACTGATGTGGTAAACTAACAAATGCCTGCTTTGGTTTGAATCAGATAATCCCGAGAAAATTAGTTCAAGTTGTAACCCCATCAACTGCAAGTGAGGGTAATATCGGACCCGATGCTGTCCATCTTCTAGCTATAAAAGAGGTCTGTTGTCTATCCATGTCATATCTTAAATCAATTTCACAATCTTTTCCCCTAAGACTTTGGATGTGGGATTTCAATTTCAAAAGAAAATTTGTCTCGCCTTATATTTCACAAAAAGCCTGCAACTCTGTCTTTTAAAGAGAATGCCAAGCAAAGTTTGATGGCTGAAGCATCGCTCATATGATCATGATACATTTCTTACATTGTTTTGGTGACAAATACCGCTAATGATATATGCCTCTAATTTTAGGTTCAAGTGGGGATAGAAAACAGTTCAACAGTGTATGGCTTTGCTTTTGTTGATTGTGCCGCCTTGAGGTTTTGGGTTGGAACCATCAGTGATGATGCCTCGTGTACTGCTCTTGGAGCTTTACTAATGCAGGTACGCAAGTATTTTTTTGCCAATTCATTGCTATGTGATTTTGCGTAGAGATATTTGCATTTTCGATGTTCATGTTTCAAATAATCTTTTTGGCACCTTATTCCAGGTTTCTCCAAAGGAAGTGGTATATGAAAGTAAAGGTGAACTTCTTTTTGTACCCCTGGTCGTTTGTTTTAAATAAACTCGTTGTAACTGATGTCATGATATATAAAAATGTAACATTTACGAATAATGCAGGGCTATCAAGAGAAGCACAAAAGGCTCTTAGAAAGTATACATTGACAGGTAGCGTTGAACATCATCCCTCATTGAAATATGTGCAGAGCCTGTGGATCAATTGAATATGAATCTGCATCTGTTTTTCTAGGTTTTCATTCAAGTATGGAACAACTTGAACATCTCTTCATTTGGTTATATTGTTCATTTTTATAGGGTCTACGGCAGTGCAGTTGACTCCAGTCCTGCAAATTACTGATAATATGGATGCTTGTGAAGTAAAAAATATGATACAGACTAACAGTTACTTTAGAGGATCTTCGGAATCATGGAACTGTGTCCTTGATGGTCTAACAAATTGTGATATTGCCCTAACTGCTCTCAGAAGATTAATTAGTCATCTGTCTAGATTAAAGGTAAGTTGCTTGACTAGGTTCCACTTTTCTGAGATTCCGGCAAATGGAATCCTCGTAACTCAGAGGTTCTTCTACATTCTTGCAGCTAGAAGATGTATTAAAGAATGGGGATATCCTACCATACCAAGTTTACAGGAGTTGTCTCAGAATGGATGGTCAGACAATGGTAAATCTAGAGATATTCAATAACAATTTTGACGGCGGTCTTTCAGGCAAGTTGGTGTTTCATTTATAGAGGAGAGTATGCTCTGGAGAAATACATATTCTAATACCCGATATAGGTCTCATCCCTTAGTAAGGCCTAGCTGATGTTGTTTGCTGTGCAGGGACCTTGTACAAGTATCTTGACAACTGTGTAACCCCAACCGGAAAACGTCTCTTAAGACGGTGGATCTGCCATCCACTCAAAGATGTTGGGAGCATCAAAAACAGGCTTGATGTCGTTGAAGAATTTCTATCAAACTCAGAAATCATGAAAGTAAGTGGCCAGTACCTTCAAAAAATTCCCGACTTGGAAAGGTTGCTTGGACGCATAAAGGCTAGCGTTCAGTCGACAGCTTCTCTTTTACCTGCTCTCTTGGGAAAAAAGATGCTGAAACAATGGGTAAGTTTCCCAATCCACAGTTTTTTTTCCTCTGGTATGACTTTTGTTTAAGGCCTTAGCATTGTGAATCTAATTTAGTAGAGATTTTTTCCACACGTCTTGAAATTTTTTGTCTTGTTATCCTTTCCTCTCTGAACCTATACAATGTTTCGCTTCAGCTTAAAGCATTTGGACGACTTGTTAAAGGTCTCCGAAGTGGAATGGATTTGTTGTTGCTTCTGCAGAAGGAATCACATCTAACAAGTTTACTGTGTAAAGTCTGTAAACTTCCGGAATTAGTTGGAAAAGACGGCCTAGAGTTATTCCTTTCTCAATTTGAAGCAGCCATAGATAGTGACTTTCCAAATTATCAGGTACGCTTTTATATTGCGAATCCATGCATATGACAAAAAAAAATGTTGCTAAAGTTCAAAGATATCTCATTTTCTCATTTTGCTTGCATTGTGTGATGTTTCCCAATTTTATTTTGGGTTAGTAAGCTTGAATTCTTGTGCTTTACATTAGTGATATTTCCGTGAAAGAACATAATTTATGTCCATTGTTTCGTAATGCATCATCTCTGACTTAGTATTGTACCAGAACCAAGATATGACAGAGGAGAATGCTGAAACTCTTGCAATACTTATCGAGTTATTGATCGAGAGAGCTGCTCAGTGGTCTGAGGTCATTCATGCCCTAAGCTGCATTGACGTACTGAGATCTTTCGCTGTCACTGCAACATTATCTGTCGGAAGCATGGCCAAGCCTGTTATTTTCCCCGAGTCGAAAAGTACAAGTCACGATCAAGATAGAAAAGGGCCCATACTTAAAATCCGAGGTCTATGGCATCCATTTGCAGTTGCGGCAGATGGGCAACTGCCTGTTCCAAATGATATACTCCTGGGCGAGGACAGATGCAGCAGTCGTCATCCTTGCTCGTTGTTGCTGACAGGACCAAATATGGGCGGGAAATCAACGCTTCTTCGTGCCACTTGTCTAGCTGTTATCCTTGCCCAAGTTCGTTAGCCCGATTTTTTTGGTTATATTACTGTTTTTTTCTTTAGTAGCATCCATTTTCTGATCGACCTTTCTTCTCCTTTCTTTGCAGCTCGGGTGTTACGTGCCTTGCGAGACGTGTGAGCTGTCACTCGTCGACACTATCTTCACAAGGCTCGGTGCCACGGATAGAATCATGACGGGGGAGAGTAAGTAATCACAAACAAGAACCAGTAAAGCGAAATCCATCTTCACAGACAAGAGCCGAGAATTGTCTCGAGACTGATGTTTAATATGGTGAAACCCACATTGGCAGGTACATTCTTGATCGAGTGCACTGAAACAGCATCTGTACTTCAGAATGCAACTCAAGATTCACTGGTTATATTAGATGAGCTAGGTAGAGGAACAAGCACTTTCGATGGATACGCCATTGCATACTCTGTGAGCTCTTCTCCTTCGAAATCCTTTCTCATCCTTTTTTCGAAACCAAACGTTTTTCTTCGTATTCTCTAACCAAAAATCCCCTCCGATAATTTTTTCCATTCGGTTAGGTTTTCCGTCACCTTGTGGAGAAAGTCCAGTGCAGGTTGCTCTTTGCGACGCATTACCATCCGCTCACAAAGGAGTTCTCGTCTCATCCTCGGGTGACGTTACAACACATGGCTTGTGCTTTCAGATCAAGAACCGGGCATCAATCTTCGAGCTCCGACCAAGAACTGGTGTTCCTGTACCGACTAACCGAAGGACCTTGTCCCGAGAGCTACGGTCTCCAGGTCGCCCTCATGGCGGGGATTCCCGACCGAGTAGTGGAAACAGCTTCAGAGGCGGCTCGTGCCATGAAGAGATTGGTCGGAGAAAATTTCAGGACAAGTGAGCAGAGGTCGGAATTCTCGAGTCTGCACGAAGAATGGCTGAAGATGTTGGTAGGAATTTCTCGTATCGAAGAGGATGCCATCGAGGAAGAAGATCTCTATGTCACGTTGCTTTGCTTGTGGCATGAACTCAAACTCTCCTGCAGAAGCCATTCGAGTTAAACAAAAAAGGGACAAGAAGACATATAACTTGTAAAGCTCTGGTAGGACAAAAGTGATGCAGTTAGAGTTATATGCCTTAGATTTAATTCAGTACCAAAATCAGAAGATGAAAGGGCTGACTTACATTTGTAAATCAGTAGGTAAGATTTGCTCATCCGTGAGTCGGGTATTCGGTTTTCGGGTAATATGGTTTTTTTGGCAATGACGAGAACTTAATCTTCGGGTTTGGGCGTCGTCCGAAGAAAATTTATATCTACGAGTATCCATCGTCGGACTTGTCTAAGATTAGAATTGCGATTTGTTATCACGCACACCTTGTCTGTGTCGTTCTTCAATATACAGAAGCTTCTTAGGGGCATAAAATTACAAACAAAACATTTGGGGTCAAAATGTAATAAATTGAAACTAAGCGGTCAAAATAAGAAATTTGCTGATTCTTTCGAGTTTTGATCGTTTCTCAATCCTTTTTTGGTCCCTTCGGGATCAGATGACGTACGTACCAACGCTTAATTTCATTTCCCTCTCTCGTCGGCTAGGTCTCTGTGGGTGATGCATTTCATTGTTCCACATCCAGAAATCCCACTCGGCCCTGGTTGGATCTCGAGAAATCAATTGGATCTCTAGGGTTTTGATTTCTTCTGCTTCGGAGACCAGATCCGAGCTCAATCCAGGGAATTGGTGGAAGAAAAATGCCGGTAAAGCATGTGCAATCGTCGTACCGAGATCGGACGGACGAGTTCTTCGGTATCGCGGAGAGGCTGAGGAAATCGATTTCTCCAGCGGCGGCGAGTAATGCCGCGGGTGGCGCACAGAGGGAGGATCCTAGATCTGCGGTGGCGATTCAATCGGAGTTCAACAGGAGAGCTTCTAAGATCGGATTTGGTATCCACCAGACCTCGCAGAAGCTAGCCAAGCTCGCGAAACGTAAGTTTTTTAGCTTCTGATTGGTTGCTGATCTCGTGATTTTGAGCCTTAATTTCAATCTGAGAGATTCAACAAGTCGGTGTGGTCTTCTCGATTCACGATCCTGTAGTGGTTTGACGATATCTTTTGCGATGATAAGGAGCTAATCTGAATGCTCTGTTTATGTCAGCTGAAATTTGTCTTCAAAAGCTATCACCATTAGTGGCATTGGGTAGGTGATTAGACGGTTGAGCTTGAAGCTTGCGTTATGATGGCATAATGCTCGCATATGTACTCTGATCAAGCAGAATAGCTACTTTCTAGATCATTGTTAACCTGATCATGAAAACTCGTAGGTTTGTATGTAGATTGCAACCAGTTTCTAGTCCACGGGGAAGTGTAATTGTTTTATTCTCTTTTCGACTGGTTTTTCCACTGGTTTGAATCTCTGGCTCCAATAATACACTGCTCAAGCATCACTTTGCTGTAGTAGGGAAAGATGAGGC